AGAGATCATTTTTTCAAGTTATTTTTTTAAACAATTCTTTGTATATTTTACACTTTTATAAAATAGTTATGAATGGAGGACTTAAATAATTTTGTGGTATAATATATAGTTTACATATTACATGCAAACAAGTGTTATCAGTATGTATTAATATGTAAATAATTGAATTTTGCTCTCATTTTCTTTAATAAATAAATAAATTTCAATTATTATAAGTACATTAAGTTATATATCTTTGTAGATATTATGATAAGTATTTTTATATTGTAGATAAATTTGAAATTCTTACTAATTTTTTACTTACAGATACAGAAAACATCAGATTCGTTTTTGCAGCAGTGAAAGACACCATTCTACAATTCAACTTAAAAGAATACAATCTGGTTTAGATGACAATATGTGAAACTCTGAATAGACTCAAGAATTTTTCTTATATCCTGACCAAGGTATCAGTGTGAACTCTGTTAAGCTATAAAAATGGAGAGAATAAGCGGAAACAAAATGAAAATAAACAATAACTTGTGGTGCCATCAGCATACTGTCGCTGTTCCATTACAAGTGTACCAACTATTAGTAAAATTAGTGGGAGGTAACAGCGATGAGCGAACATGGACCTAAATCAGAGCGTTTATACGTTCTTTCCTAAACCTTTTCACTGTCAATACCAACAAATTGATTTAGTTTCATACTCTATTTGTTGAATTTGTTACCTTTTTTATAGATTAGTTTAGTCGATCATGCCTGGCTGACTACATAATCGTCTGATTTTTATATAACAAATACCAACACGTAAATAAACGTATAAGATATAATAGTGCAGCCATGCCATACAAATGTCTGTCCAAGTGTTTATCTCGAGTCGAGAGAAATCTCTGCGAGAAACTGAAAGAGAAAAAGGGACAATTGCTTTTTAATCACGATTAGTCAGTGACACAAGTGAGAGTAATTCTAGTGCCATTTACTAGTGTGGTGTTTTCATTGCAGTCCTTTCTTAGATGCAAAAAGCCAAAGTGTTTTTTTAATCTGTGCCAGAAGCGAGTAAAGATTTTTTTCTGCATGCGACTCAAATTCATAATTCATCGTATAAATATCGTTGTATATAATATATGAAATGAAACATAGGTTAGCATCGAAAGAAAACAAGATACAAACCAACAAGAAGGAAACTTTACCCCCCTTCAATATTAACAAATTATTAGAGAACGACATCTGTTCGATGTGAGTTTAGGTAATTAGGAGGCAAGAGATTGCAGATTAATCTGTTATCTCTCTTCTCCTTAGGCTGTGTACAGAATGCGAGGGCTGAGATCTCATGCCATAAAACTATAATCATACAATTCATAAGCAACAAAAAAATTCTTAATTATAATACATGGCTTTCCTTTCATCCAGCCCTCGCTTGTTGGCACAGCATTGCGTAGCAAGGGACATGGTTCAATAACATATGCCCCTGGCATGCATTGTATCCACATTACAGTGTACGTATGTATGACCTGCTCACTGCCTGCGCTCGCTCATGCTGGCTAGCGCACTGCCCACTGCTTGTATTCTCTAATGGATCGACCGACTGCTGTTTTTACCACCTTTCAATGTTCCATTGCCAGAATACTTGTACGAAGGTGGGGGAAACTGCTTTGTGCGTATCTAGAGAGTACATGCAAAATAAACTCTACAGTGTTGATCAGACTGGTAAATTAGAGTATGGCATTGGACATGTATGGTTCAAACGTCTAACTCTGAGACTGGAAACACTGGACGCACATTGGGCAGCATATGTCATACCTACTTTGGTCGAGACACTGAATTTATATGAAAGAAAAAAATATATAAATACATTGGATAAAATATAATATTAAGAGATAATAACAAATAATATTGAATAATAATAAAATAATAATAATAACAATAAAATAATATTATTAATATTAATATTAATTGAATAGTAATAATAATAATAAAATAATAATTATTATAATATAATAATATTAATAATAATATAATAATATTAATAATAATATTAATAATAATAATAATATTAATAATACTGCTTGGTTTTCAGTGAGAGTGTGCGATTCAAGTGAATGAGTTGCACCAAGGGAGAAAATATAAATGCGTATTTCAAGTGCAAAACGATGCTAGTGAGAAAATATGGTAGCATAAATGAAAGAGAGCAAAAGAGGGAAAAAGAGTGAAAGAGAGAGAAAAAGAGAGAAAGAGTGAGAGAGAAAGACGGAAAGAAAGAGTAAGAGAGAAAGAAAGAAAGAGAGAAAGGGAGTGTATGTATGTTGTGTGTGTGGTGTGTGTGAGAAAG